CTGTTAGGATCTCCAAATTTCGGGTTGCCGATCCGCACGATGAGGCCCGAAGCCATGAAGCCATCCGAGTGTTGGAGGCGTTCCGGTCTGACTGGCTGGCGCAAGGTGCAACCGCAAAGACTTGGAAGGCTCGGACGGGACGCTTAAGAGACGAAGGCGAACCCGCCACCCCCCGGATTCATATGGAGGTGGCCTTCATTGTTGGACCGAATGTGTTTTCACAAAGGTTGATTGGTCCAGAGTGCGCATTGAGACCAGGCCTGGCCTCAACGAAGCCCTTTGAAGTCAACAGGCCACTTACCCATCCAACTAGCCAAAAGTCTTTCAAGCGCATTTGCTTGCATATTTGCATAAGAGTCCCTTCCATGTGAGTAGCAACTTCTTCCGACCCGGTTTCCCTTTCCACCAGGGAAAAAGACGCAGACTGCCTAGAAAGGTGGCAATGCCAACAAATCATCCAGTCAAAGTCGTGTGCATCTCAAGCCAAGCAGCGAAACGCAGAAGAACCTGATAGAAACAGCGTGAGTCAGGATCATATTGAGATACTGTACGAAGAGGACCAAACATGACGCCCTGCCAAAAAGTTTCACACTGGATGGCTCCATACGTTGTTTGCATTTGCTTTAAGGTAGACTTGTCAAGCCCTGAGCTTAAGCCTTTGGGTTCAACAAATGGAACCCAGGCACAATGCCAGAAATCCCCGTATGAGCCCCCGTGCCAGCGGCACCACCACATCCTGATCTGGGGGTGTAGGCGCCGCCTGGGCTAGACCGAGCTTACGCGGCTCGATGCTGGTCATTCGGGGAGGGGTCAATTTAATGTATGGTCGCGCAAAGCAGCCCTGTGTCGAAGACCAGTCATTTGTGAGCGCGCCCATTCCGTATGTCTTTTCTCTGGTTTCACGTTCCGACATGCCCATGCTCCAACGCGCATGGCCGAGTAAGTAGCTCACGCGTCAGGTTGGGGTCCGTGCTGCGCATCTCCGAGCAGCTACTTGCGGTGTGGACTGCCGGAAAAGGCATCAGCCTTCCCCGCTCCACGTACCAAACGTGTGGCTTTTCCTTTTCTGCAAGTTATACGTGGCATGTCTCTAAGTGAGTGAGGTGAGGTGAGGTGAGGTGAGGTGAGGTGAGTAAAAACTGCGCTAGGTGGGGAGCGCAGAGCCACCGCCTCAGGCGCCATCTCTCGTGGCTTCGCAAGAGGCTCCGTAAATGTCATCGCCTCCTCCACTTGCTCAAGCCGGCTCAGGCTTGGAGACCCAATGGCACTCACTTGTAGCATGGGCTGCAAGATGAGCTACTGTATCAAAGTGCCACATGGCTTGGACTCAGCAAATTATTGACGTGTGGTTTGTTTGCAATCCGTGACTTCAAAATATAGAGTGCTTGGGCCCTCTGTGGCAAGCAAACCCGTGCGTTGAGATGGGACCATCTTGGTCGGGCATCTGTCGAAGCGTTTCGACCCTTTGATCCAAGAAAGAAGGCACGCGACAAAATAGATCCCTCTAGGCCCCGAACCGCAAGTCTCGCTTTGGAAAACGGTCCATCCCCGACCCATTCCCCGCTCACAGCGTCAAAGCATCCAACAAGAAAGCGCCTTTTTGGGGCCACGAGACCAAGAAAGGCAAAGAAAGAGACTAACAAGCCGGAGCATTCGGAAAAGAAGCTGCGTCCTTCCCATCCGGCCGATCATGATAAAGCGCACACAGGAGAGCAAATCAGACCAAAACAAGGTATCCACCACAAAACCCACATATTCCCGGCTCCGGCGCGCTTGGAGGATTTGGCGAGGCTTTCTGCGCGGCGGCGCAAATCAAATCACGCCCCATTCCCTGCCCGAGTTCGGCCACGGGACGCGCAGTAGCCACACGTGCAGCCCAATGTCCTCCTGGCACAACAAGCTCGCTTGATGCAATGTCGCATAGTGGCCATGCACCCCTGAAAGCTCCGAAACAACAGGGAAAGGGAAAGATAAAGAGAAAGCGAGAGAGAGAGAGAGAAACAGAGAGAGAGAGAAAGACAAAGACGAAGGAGAGAGAATAGGGAGAGAGAGAGAGAGAGAGAGAGCTCTGCTTTGAGATTCACACATTTTTGGGATCGAAATTCGGAGTTGTTTGGCTGTATCAAGCCACCCGGTGCTGTTGCCTTCCACTTCGAAACACATTGCGCACAGCTGGGGGTCTCCGTGAACTATGCTCTTATAATCAGGTATACTTTTGTAATCCCCCCCCCCCCCCGGCCTCCCCGTTCCAAACAACACCAAATGTCTTTCCCAAAAATTCCTCGATACCACTGCTGGATTTCACCATAAGACACCGGGAATTCGAAGTCGAGCTGTGTGTGGAACTGCATCTAGAGAGAGAGAGAGAGAGAGAGAGAGACAGAGACAGAGACAGAGACAGAGAGACAGGGAGCGGGATTCATTCATTTTCATCTTCTGCTTTGTTCGTGTTCAAGTCACTTGCCCACGAGCTCCACGGGTCCCTCTGCGTCGCCCCATTCGCCTGGGTGGTGACGGAGCCCATGCGCTCGCCGAACTGCACCACCGGCGCCTCCTCGGTCCGGGGCAATGGAATCACCCGAAGAAACCTCCCCAACCCCCCCGACCAGATGAATTGTGCAATGGTCAAATCTCCTGCGGTCGTGGTTCCCATGGCAGAGGAATTTCGGAATCCTTATGGTAAAGGCCCCTATGAGACCCTTGACAGTGGCAAGGAACCTCTTGGTCAAAGCCGGAAAAGCCAACGCGTAGCGGAATTTAGGGAGCTTGGCCTGCAAGTTCACATGGAACCCCCGGAAAAGTCACCCACAAGGAAGCTCCCTTGCTCAACGGGAAAGTTTCAGAAAGATGGGTGTGCTTTCCTGGGGAGAGGGTCCAAAACCCCTCTCCCCCATAGAAAACCAGCTTCAGGCGTAAGCCTGTGGCACGTTTTCGTTCCAAGGCATCGGCGCTGGCGCCAGCGGCAGAAGCTAAGCCGCCTGGGCAAAGAGGAGATGTCACGGGCATTCGGGTTTGTTGCTCAATGGGATGTGTTCAAGAACCCTGAAAGGGGCACCAACCCCGCAAGAAGCAAGCCCACTTTCCCAAAAGCTCGAGCCTGACCGAGCTTGCGGTCTGGCTAAGGCCAAGCAAACAAGCGAATTCGATCTGCGCCAAAAACAGGAGATATGATAGGTGACACGTTCATCAGGGCTTAAGCAGGGGCTGCAGAGACCTTGGCTGCCGTCCGTCGTGTCAAACAAGAGCATTGGTCCGTGGATGAACCAGCGACGGGGCAAAAGCAAGGCCGCCTGCAAGCTTGGGAGGACCCCAACTCAAGCACAACTATCGTCAACGATACTGAGAAGCGCTCATCCTGCATTCCGTTCCCTCCAAACGGTCGATCGTCCAAAGAGCCGATAGAAAGCGGAGACCGAAATTCACGTGCAAATATGATGCCCCAAGCTCCCTTTGCCATGCCACTTGTAAGACAAAGCAGCATGGAAAAGGCTCCCTGCCCGAAACGACAACTGGTAACTCTTGCCGCGCTGCTGCCGTTGATGACAATGGTCGTGCTGAGAGCTGAGGAGTAGAAGGATGGGACCACATCCGACAGCCTCAGCCAGGAACGGCGCCCCGTGAGTTACGCGAGGCAGGAGGGACTTTGTTGTGAAACAGAGCCATGGGCAAAAAAACACCGTTCTGAGCATGTCGCGTCTCTGGTTGCCTTCAAATTCAGTTTGGACTCCCTTGAAGTGTACAAGCCCTCTGGGAGGCCGTCCCTTTACGTTCCGGCAAAAAAGAAATCGGTCAAAAGGCAAAAACGTTAGCGTTTTTGCAGGGATCCCCCTTGACCAGGTCACAAGCCTTTCAGATTTGTTTCCGCGGATCGAGCTGAGCACCACACAGAGGCGTGGAGCCCGATGCGTATTGGAAGGACGCCCGCACCTTCGCGCTTGGAGTCGCTCCGGAACGCTTTGGTCATCTCACCAGCCCAAGATGGTGATTAATTGGCAATTGGAAACTGGCAATTGTTCTATTGACTTTCTGATTGATAGTTGGGCAAGTAGTGAATGGGTAAGTTGGTCAATTGATAGCTCGAGGAGCCAACTTGCAAAACGAAACCTCGGGTCCTTCCCCGAATGTTGAAGCAAGGAGCAACAGGCCAAAGGCCAAAAGGGATGCAAAGAAGTCCGAGATCCTGTACGAAGTGAAACCAGGCCAAATGACTCCATACCGCACAAGGAACAATCTCTCAATCGGATTCAACTTAAAGGAACCCAACAGGAGGTTGCCATAAAAGCTCCCCGCTCGCCCATGAAACCCCTCATGATTGGTTGTCCGGAGCCCACCCAATCAAGTTCCATGTTGGGCGCGTATTCACTCCTAAGCCACTTGGTGTATCGGCGAGTCGCCGCCAAAGCTTTCGGCACTTCTCGGCAACTCCCCGAAGCCGTTGCATTCTACTGAGCCAGCCGCCCAAAACAAGCGGAAGGCTGCAGGAAAAGGGACCCTGTTTTTTGTTCGAGCCCTACCAAAGATAAAAACCGCTGATTCTGTGACCCCCTTGCGCTTCCTGCACGCCCCTCTGCAACATGTCTTTCAAGATTGTGGACCCTTTGATCCTGTCCAGTTGCGCGGTGGGGACCTTTTGCCAAAAGAAAGCACAGTCTCAAAACTATGTCAGCTGTCTTTTCCCTCAATCACTGCAATCCATCCAAGACGGAACCCCGACTTCTCTCCTTTTCCAGGCTGGAATTAGGACCCCAGCAGCAAGTTATCTTTTTTCGCCTGGTTAGTGGAAAACAAAGGGACCCCAAAAAAGCCCAAAAAAAAAAAGAGAAGAGAAAAACACCAAAAAAGGGGGGGAGCTAATTCTGGGGAAGTGCTTTTCTACCACGCGGACTCGGCCCTTGGGCCCCCTGCCACCGAGGCCGTGGAAGCCGGCTGTGCCAGCGTCACGTCGGCCGCCCTCGGGTCCAGTCACCGGAGCGGTTCTCGCTAGGGCTGTGGGAAATGGAACCCACTGTGATACAAAAGAAAGGGTTTCCCAAAGACTAACCCCCAATAGAAAGGGGGAGATTCCCTTGTATCACAGAAGTGGGAATAAACCCCTTGATCCCACAACCCTGGAAGCTAACGGCTACGGAAGCTAACAGGGAGATCACTCTTACCGGACATAAGTCCCAAATCATGTCCACCAAGGGGTCCCCCGATAAATTCATTCTCGTTTTAGATGCCCCAACTCTGGATTCCGCCGATGCGTCCGCTGTTTTTCCTGGGCACTCGTTTTGCGCTTTCCAAGGGGAAAGACGTAGGCATGAACAAACGAACCCTAGATGATTAGCTTCAGGAATCACAAAACACATACAGGGGAATGCAAGGCAATGGAATCCTTTGAAAGCAAAACCTACGCTCCTTCCAACAACAATCTGCCCCCCGGGCCACTTCCACGATTCTTGAGAGGGTAAAGTACTCACAATCAGCTTCAGCACATAGAAAGTGACCCATGGGTTCCAACACATCTGGGTACAGCGTAAATTTACATAAACCCTAAACAAAAAGCCGCCAACTTCGGGCTTTTTCTGGAAACACGGTTCTGTCGTATTCAAGCTGGACACCATGTCGGGTGCGGCTCATGGCAAGCGCGAATGCCATTGAGCCCGCAAAACAAACGGAGCCTTGAGGTCTCGCAGACCTAGGGTCCCTTTTTTGACCATGGGAGATCTCCATGCTGTGGAAAAATCCAACATCCATCCAAGAATGATGGGCTCTGTGGCACCCACAAAGAAAACGGGCGGCCCTATGAACAGGGGGCGAGAGAAAAACCATGCACGCATGTATCAAACCCCACAACTTGCAGGTTTCTAGAAAAGAACACAAATCACGCTCAGTAAACACAAGGGATGGTGAAGGCCATCAAACTACGTCCACTCAAACGGGCGCCCGCACGAGGTCCTCGCCCAGTTGGCTGGGTCGCTTGAAGCATCGAAGCCTCACAGGACGCGGTAGTGCCCTTCCAACCCGCAAGTGAAACTGTCCCAAAAGGCAGTTGCCGGCAATTCCCCAGGCAAACCCCTTGGTCAACGTCAAATAATTGTACTCCTCGGTACGCTGTTCGAGATACCCCACAAATGATTTGGCTTTCTGGTTGACTTTGGAAAAGCTTCCGATGATGTTTAACTGGACAAAATTTGTTGATCCCCATTGGCGTCCAGAGTTGGTGACTTTGTTTCAACTCTTTGAAGCCAAAAGAGCACCGGCACAGTGTGTGGAACCAGTCCAGAACGGCCTCCTCTGACCTTCTAATTGTGGCAACGCCTTAGCATTTGTCTGCGCTTTTCGCGTTGAGACCTCCGAAGTTCGCTCGGCCTGCAGAGGACGTCAAATGCAACTCGGACCTCCGAAAGCGTGGCTTTGGCGCTCTTCTGGCTTCCTTTGAAGCTTTAAGGCACTCCTCCAAACACAAAAACAATGTGTTCTCCGATTTCATGTGACGCCTCCTTTGGGTCCTCCTTTGGGTTGCCTTCCCTTCACAGTCCCTTTTCAAGCCAGGGGTCCTCCCGGATGTCCGAGGCCCAGGCTGCTCAGAGCTGGGGTGAGGCACGCCAGAGCTACGTCGCCTGGCACCTGTCCCAGAGCTTCTGAATCCAAGGCTCAGATTTGCCAAGGCCCATGGGAAGACAAATGGGTAGACATATTGGTTTTTGCACATGGGCGTTCAAACGGGCACGCAATCGGGCATGTGATGTGTATGTATTTTTGGGTATAGAAATGGGTATATATTAGCGTGCGGCCTCCATTAAAGGCCCTAGCAGGAACTACCTGCCAGCGGTTAGCCAAAAAAACTGACGGACATATGCATCTGGCAAAAACTATCAAGTCCAGCACCTCTCGTGTGTGTCGGATTGCTCTGGCCCATGGGGAAAGGGTGGCAACGCTTTTGGCTGGAAACCATTTCCCCCGGTTGCCCCTCTTTAATTGAAAGAAAAAAAGAAGAAAACAGAAACTTCGGGGCCACCTCGCGAGTGGGAAAAATCGAACTTCTCGAGCGAACTTCCGGCCGGGATGTTGCTGGCTGCAGGCTCCGTGCACGGCACGCCACCCACCAGCAGCTGGGAGCAGTTCCTAAAACCAGCGGCAAGGCGGCCGTTGGGCGGCAGGATCCAAGGAGGGGGCCAGTTGGGATGGACGAAACCCGATGTATACTGAGATCAACCCAGTGCAAGATTTCGAGGTTTCATAAACCAGAAGAGCCGTTCAATCTCGAGGGTCCCCTGCACATGCCTTGGTGCCAGTCCTAAACATCAGCCGGCACCATGCCTTTCCCAAAACAGCCTTCAAATGATCGGTTTCTCCCACAAGATGCTATTTTGGTGTCCCTTCAAGCACTATTTTTGAGCGTGTCGCAACATTTAGCACACATGCTCATGTGCCTCACCGTCCGTCTGGGACCGCCACATACCGCGCAGCCCAACGCCCACAAGCGTCAGCACCTTCAGACATGTATGGACAGAGACC